TGTGTGTGTGTGTGTGTGACATCACATAAATAATGTCAGAGAAGCTGATATTAAGGATACTGGCAAGACAGTACAGAAATTAGAAAAATATAATCTTTACCTCTTTGTTTGACATTTTTACTAATGTCAAACCAGCTAACACAAGACTATTTTCATGTAAGCATAAAGCTGGAGATACCAAGAAGTTGTTGCCTGAGGAAAGAGCCCCTGACACCCAATGGGTGAGCCCATAGCTAGTATGAATGTGGTGGTGGCACAGAATATTATGCCATCCCTGATGGAAATTAAAACATGGCCATCCAATTCACAGCCAGTCACTTTACTAATTAATTATATTGCAGATGATAAATATTGGTACTGAGCAAAAAGTACAAGGATCCATTCGTACTACCATTCTTTCACCACAGTCATTACAAAACAGGCAAATTAAAGTAAACCTGGGCCTGCTACAATGCAAAATGTAAGTTGCACAGTAAACTATCTTGGTCTAGTTTCAATAACCCATATAAGAACATGCAAGAAGGAACACGACAAGAAATTAGCAGAACTAACTAACCTCTTCTAGTTCACCAGATTCAATCACATCCAACCATCTTTCTTCTTCACTTGATGTCCCACTATCCTTGCCTTTTTCTTCTTTGATGCCTTAGGAGAGGATCCCACTTGCCCTGACCTATCCATTACCTTAGCTGGAGATCCCTTGTCTTTCATTTTGTCAGTAGAACTTGACTGACCAGCACTGGAAAAATATTAAAGTCAGCATTCCATAAAAGAAATTCAAAGAACTAAATACAGTAAACTGTAAAATTGGAATATTGGACTTTGTCCATCATCTATATTTCCAAGTCTAGGTCTGAGGATACCTGAACCAGGGAACCTAATGTCTAGGGTTTCTATCCTTTCTGTTTTACCTGAAGACAGATCTAGCTTCTAAAATGTTGTAACTTTATTGAAATACAGACAGTGTTAAAAATTCCACTTTTATAGATTATAACACACCATCACCAAATATCTTCAGACTTCAAATAAATATATAAAACTAAAATATATTCAGTAAGTTATAAACAAGCTAATAAAGAAACAATGATATCTGTGAAAAATGTGTGACATCTTCTTTCATCCAGGTGCTCCAGTCATGGCAAGGCTAGTAGGAACTGCAACTTCATTATTTTCATTTTAGTACACCATTTCTGAGCATAATTTCCACTGCAGCAGATTCCAACTTTTTAATAACTGTTTGTATAAAATATATTTCACATAGAATTTGTAGAAATGTTTAAGATGTCTTAATTTTGACAGATCACATGCTGAGCTCCAATGGTTCACTAATTATGAACATTAAACCAAAAATTAAATACAGATTTTGCACAAGTGCTATGTTATTATTTACATTTTACATCAAATTTCAGTGACACTAGTGCCACTCCAATTACAAACCTCAGAAATCTCCAAGGCGATGATCACAGCAAATTTGATATTATTTATTATAAAGGTATGATTGGTCATAGTGGCACGCATATTAACTCTGCCAAGTTTCACGTAAATTTGTTAATTGATTAAAAGTTCATTGGGCAACACAGATGGCTACATAGAGACATGATACTAAAACAATGTTTTTCCTTACAAAATAAAGGCAGTAGGCTATAAATTACAACAAATAATGCAACGAAAGATGACACTAGGGTGCATCATGCTTGATGTAAGACATTATTATAAAGCATAAATAAATTATTGTTTCACTTACATGTTTATTTGGTTATGATGCTATCAGCATCATCAAATGACAAGTCCTGTGAACCCTCACTTGCATCTAATAGCTTCTTCTTTTTATGTTTTTATGCTTATGTTTCTTATGCTTCATCTGTAGTGGAAACTCATTCATATCTGCAAAACATACAATTTGATGATGATAGTAACACAATTATGATGATTATTGATTCATTACAGTTGTTTCATCAACTGCATAAGTTGTGCAATAATGGCTGTGAATTTAAAATGCTTTATAGGGGCAGTCCCAACCTATTTTAGGGCACTATCCCAGCATCTGCTTTGTGGAACTGAGGAAAGTCGCAGAGATGGTATCCAGAATAAGATGGAAACCCATGACCTCAAAATAAGACACTGCTGGAGTGATGTCCATTCCTTAATTTTCCTTTAGCTACCCATCAGTGATGTACCAAGTGCAACTGTAAGCCAACCACATAGTTATAATAAGAAAAAACCAAATTGTTCAGTGATAAGAAGCTGTGTTTCCTTAAACTCATACACCCCATCGACAGCCAAAACTGGTGAACGCAAAAATAATACAAACTTTTGTTCCTTTAAACCTAGAAAACATTTGTTGAATTATGTACCATAAAGTGGTTATATGCAATTGATCAATACAGATGACAGAATAACATTTTATATCACTGCCCAAGATGAATACAGAACCATTATTTTCGACATTTCACATACCAACACTAAGTTTGTCTTCTGTACTTGTGTCTGTACATATACCCATTAAAAATATCAGCCTTTTCGTTACATCAATTGTCAAACACCATCCATTAAGTAGCGTCCATATCGTCGGTTTATTGAATTTTCAGTAAATTATAAGTGAGCTCCACAGTCAAGACATTAACCTCCAAAAATATATTAAATGTTCATATATTATTCATTCCCAAAACAAATTTCCACCATTGCACACAATAATATAATATTTTTGTAGATAGTTACAGGTTTGAACACATTTCCATTAAACCGGTAATAAATGGGCTATCTAATCATGATGCTCAACTATTAGTTATAAAAAACATAAACCTTATTTCTAACTTTC